GCTTTTTAAAATACACTCTCAGCATTTCGAATTTTTTATTGGTCATATTTTTTACGGAACGTAATTTTCAGAGTTCATCATCCCTACTACCTCGCAGTTTTTCGTGGTTTCAATTATTTCGTATTTCATTCTTCGAAAGTATTCAGTTACACGTCTTTCTACAACTTTGATCATCTGATTTCCGAAATGTCGTTCCGTTAATGTTGCACATTGCAGCTTCCAGAGATTTGCACAGTTTCGAGAATGCGTAATATAAGTAACCTTTTACCAGCTTTAAAGAATGCTTTCCTGAGTGATACTGTGATTGTTTGATTGTTTGGTGTTTGCTCGAATTCAATGCTTTGCCACTTCGCATACTCTTCTATTGGTAACGTTGTGATCAGTATTGTATAAGTATGAAAAAAGCAAGCATCATTTAGGTTTATAACGAAAACGAACATAATGTCACTTTTATCGATCTGTTTTGAAATGGAGGAACGCTATTAGAAGGTGAGCACTTGCTCAAGCTGCTTCACGATAAAGTTTGGTTATTCCATTGAGCGAATGAATCACTGGCATAAATGGATTACAGTGAATTACCGTGACCAGTGTTATGTTTCGCGCATTTCTTCTATCGTGAACCGCGTTAAACTGCACTAACACATCACCGTTCTGATCAGTCCTCACTTTGATATCTTCTGGAGCTTTGAATACTAAATGTTACTCCAAGTTATCATCATCAATTTTCACTAAGAATGTCATTTTCAGGTGATACGGAAATGAATCATAAAAAATACTGAATCTGTTATTGTACATCTTGTGATACCACTGCAAACAAAAAGAACTACCATTGATAAACATTTTGAATAATGCGTCGTCTATGTGATCATAATCTTCTAAGAGATCTGTATGAAACTCACATCCACTTCTCGTCTTGAAGTAAGTCACTTCGCTCACTGGACCTTCACCGATCCCGTTCCAAGCACTCATTCTTAAACGATAGTTCAAGTCTCGGCGCAGTCCAATCGACTTTCCATTCAGTATATACTGTAATCGTATCGCATTGTATATATTGTAATCGTTGACAAAAAATCATAGATGAATTTATTGAACGAATTGATATACCTGGTCTATGAGCGGTGAAATATTCGTTATTTCAACACTCTGCCATTTACGGTATTCATACTCGGAATAGCGCACACTTCTCGTGAAGTAGAATATATAACCCTACAAACGGAAACATAATGAATCGATTGATACGTCGGTATCAGTGAAAGTCCATTTCAATCAAGTGAAGTGATCACTTCATTGAAAGCGATTCAAGATACCCGTGGCATTCGTTTTCTCTTGAGAATACATTCGAATCGTTCCTATTTCTCTTTACACTCTCTGCAGATGCGAGCTCTGTGAAGAGGAAGGTGCATGAAAGTAAAAATGAAAACATTTCATAGCCGTGAGAGGATGGCAAAAAAAAAANTCAGTGACAACAGCCATCAGCAAGTTTATCGAAAAGCGAAATCAAAGCGAAGTGATATATTTACCTCCGTTGTGTGTTCTTATCTCAACAACGTCCGAAAGCACGCCTTCACCATACTCATTTGCTGAGGTCATTCTCAAAAAGTACGTTGAATTGAACTCGAGCTCACCCTCCACAAACGAGAAACGTCTTCGATTCGAATCAATCACAATTCTTCTCCAGTCTCGTAACGAATTACTTCGCTTTTGCGTTATATATGCCAAATATGACTGCAATAAATAATCTTTTTTATCGACTATAATTATCAACAAAAAATCCAAATTGCTTGCGATATGAAGTTTCTTAAAAATTCGCCGACACTCAGTTTCACCACAAATATTCGTCAAATACGGCAGAACAAGGTGTTTGAAGGAATGAGGATACCCTTTCAGCGTACCGTAATAATTCCATTAGGTAGCGACGGCTTCTTCCAGGATATCGTGATCTGATTGCTGGGTGAAACAACGTATTGAATGCATCGAGGTGCACTCCCAGGTTCTGTTCAAGGATTTTTCCAATTAAACATTCTGATAAAGCGATTTTTAAATCCCTCTACGGCAGGCATCGGCAACCCCCGGCCCGCGGGCCAAAATTAGTCCGCCGACAATAATTTTTGGTCCGCCAGATGAATTTGAGAATTTGATTTTAAAGGGGTAAAAAAGAAAAGAAAAAACATCTTAAATTATTTAGCTACTACACTGAAGATTTTCGACACAGAATTTTCTACTAGACGACTAAGTGTGTCGCCGACTTATACATTTTCTCTTCCTTA